ACAGATTGTATTTGTCTTCAGTGTGGAAGGGATGGTCACTCTCAAATTGGCCTTCTCAGCCACACTACATGCTGTTCCAAGTCCAAGCATGTTACCCTAGTCTCTTGAGATCAAAGGATGCCTACATTTTTATCCTCAGCTTGTCTGGGTGCTGGGTTTGGCTGAGAGGTAGGGACTGGCTTGAGGTTGCTCTGTGAGCCCCATGGCAGAGTCAAACTTAGGGCCTGGATAAGGGAGAGGCTCTGTTAGGCTGCAGTTCCCATCAGTCTTAGTCATCAGAGTTGTGGTTTAGGGAGCATGGGAGTTGCAGTCCAAGAATACCTTTGGCCGTCCCTTCTCTAATATTGTGCTAGTCTAGCTCTTTAGATCAGTGGCTCCCAAACTTGGTGCCTTAAACATTGGGGATCCACAACCCCAAGAAACTGTTGCTAGTACGTCAAATTACAATCACTTCTGGGATTTAGAATCTAAGAAATCTTAGACCGTCAATTGTGGAACCATGTTCTCGATCAGTGATTCTCAACCTTTTTTTTGGCCATAGCCATAAACACAATATGAAAGAAATATAGGGTGAATCAGGACTGTGTAAGCTGCATAATGAACCTTATAAGGTGGTGGGCAAAGTATTGTTTCCAGTCTGGCCCCCTTCAAATGTGCCATAGACTGGAAATGGCTGTGTCTAAATCATGCAAGACTTAATACACAAAAAACCCCATAAATATTGGAGTGGAAAGACACTTACCTACGATGTGTATTTTCTTCACTATTTCCTCCGATAAAGAACAGGCAACCTGTAGGTTGTCTTAGCTGAGATGCATTCACCTCTTGGCTGCATCTTTTCACAATGGGTTTGGACTCACGAATAGGGCTGTGCAGTGGTGATGTCCCTTATACCAGGTGGACAACATCTGGAAGTCAGCGGATTTGATTTGCACCCTCCCCAGTCCCCCAAAGGGCACATCCCCCATATCACATGTAACCCTGTTTAAAACATCAGCTCAGCCTTAAAACAAGATGTGTCAGGTGTGTGTGTGTCTTGTTTCCAGGAGCGCTTAATGGCTTGAAAACTAGATGCACGCTGTATTCGAGGGGACTCGTTGGCTTGAGGAGAAGAAGATGCATGCTGCTCACACACTTTGGCTTAGACCAGAACTCTGTGTTCAGAGGGTGTTTGGGTTGCCTCCCTGCCAAAATTCAGTGGTGTTACAACGGCGAAGTTAAAAGATAGGCAACCTGGGGCTCGCTTGATGAAGGACATGGGTTGCCTGCTGCCAACCCCCTACGTAACACACAGTTGTAGCAGTGCAGGCTGTGTAGATGTTGTGTTGTGATGATGTCACTGGCAAATACTGGTTGACCTTTGCTGAGTACATTAGGATCCCCATCTGGGCATGAGATTGGTTCCAAGCCCCTGTGGATGCCGTTAAAAGTGGATGGCTCCCTCTAGTGGTCAGTTCTGGTAACTTCTTTACACACAGACACAGACACACACAACTTTTAATATATTCGGACTATGGATAAGTGAATCATTGAGTACTGACCTCCTGTTGGTTCTCCTGTATAACTTTCCAGTTGTGTGAGTCCTCCATTGGTGGAATGATCTAACATGGTCGTTTCACGTTTCCTACAAGTCCCATGTGGCACATTTGGGAACTGACACTGCAGGGTTTTCTTTAGAGCCGATAACCTTAAAAGCTTCTAACTAAATCATTTTTTTTAAAAAAATCATATATCATGATAATTGCACAAATCTATTATCTCTAGCATTAGGGCTTTTCTTACCTGCTCCCACAGACAGCATGGGCTCTGCGCCAAAATTATACAGATGAAGTGTGTTGTGCAAATTAAACAATCCTCTTTTATGCTCATTTTCCCCCTAATTGTGCAGATTTTAAATATGCTTGTACCCAAACTTTTTAAATGTAAATTGTAAATGTTGAAGCAAATAAACCCTCATATTTATTTATTTATTCAATTTATATGAGGTCTCTGGGCGGCTTACAATAATTAAAATTCAATACAGTAAAAGATAAAATAATTAAAATACAATTAAAATACAATTAAAATTGCCATCAGACCCACAGCTAATATTATTTCAATTAAAAGCCTTCTGGAACAGGAAGGTTTTGACCTGGTGCCGAAATGTCATCAGCGTCGGCGCCAGACGAATCTCAGTCAGGAGGGCATTCCATAGTCTTAGCTGTGAGGAGTATTAAGGTGAAGATTAGATGAACCATAAATTTTATCTGAACAAATTTAAAGAAATCAAGATGCACTAGAGGTTTAATAGTGGCACATCATGTTCTCACACGTTGGTATAGTCTCAATGTCTGAAGAGGGGCAGAGGTAAGTTTGTGGAAACTGGTCTTTTTGTGGAGGGTTCTTACTATAGTGGTGCCTCGCTTAACGAGGATAATCTGTTCCAGCGAAATCGCTGTAGAGCGAAATCCTCGTTAAGCGAAATAAAAAAATCCCATTGAAACTCATTGAAAACCCGTTCAATGCGTTTCAATGGGCTGAATAACTCACCGTCCAGCGAAGATCCTCCATAGGGGCAGCCATTTTCGGTGCCTGTAAAGTGAGGAATCCGTCCAAAAACACACCGGGGAGCCATTTTACACAGCGGGTGGCCATTTTGAAGCCGCCAATCAGCTGTTTTAAAAACGTCGTCTAGTGAAGAATTGGTTCCCGAAGCAGGGAACTGATCGTCGGGAAGTGAATTTTGCCTATTAAAACATCGTTTTGCAATCGCAAAAGCGATCGCAAAACAGTCATCGTATAACGGTTTTGTTGTTTAACAAGGCAATTGTTAAGCGAGGCACCACTGTAGATACTTACAAAGGAGAAGAAAGGAGGAAAGGAAAGCAATATTTTTTCCTTTTGGTGGGGTTTTAGAAGCCCCCAAAATCCCATGGTTGTCTGCTGAAGCCAACATTCTGGAAAACGATGGTTCTTGTTCTGATTGAGGAAGGTGAATCAATGAACTCTAATTCCATGTAGATAAAACTCAGCAGTGTTTATTTAATTTATGCATAGACTTTACTAAGTCAGCATGCACAACACTAAGTATAGGGCTCCTGCTCTTGCCCACGATGGTGAACGATCCAACTGAAATGTTAAGTTGGTTATTTTGGTCACATGAATTCCAATAGGTATATTAGGCTCGTGCTTATGGTTGGAAATCAAAGGATAGTATGTATGAAATAAGTCCCCTTGAATCAGAATCATTAAGTTGGAAGGGACCTCTAAGGCCATCGAGTTCTACCCCTTGCTCAAGGCAGGATTCCAGATCTGTAGAATCAGAATAATTGAGAATCGTAGAATATCTGAGAATCATAGAACAGTTTCACAAAGTTTGCTTCTGGGGTATTTGAGGTGTTCTAGTTCCTTTGGACTGGAAAAGGTACATACTGTATTTTTCGCTCCATAAGACGCACCTTTCCATAAGACGCACCAATTTTTAGGAGAAGAAAACAGGAAAATATAATCTGTTTTCTTCGCTCCATAAGACGCACAGACTTTCCACCCCCCTGTTTTGTGGGAAAAAAGTGTGTCTTATGGTGCGAAAAATACGGTAGTGCACGGCAGATCCTTTACTTTCTATGTAGGTTAGCGACTTCTCAACATATATGCTGTGACATTTGTGAACCCTCCAGGAGGGTCTGAGCTGTTTTTGCAGCAGCCTGAAACACATATTTTGCAGAACTATATGTTTATTTGAAATAATTTTGCTTGTTTTCAAAGTGGTGGGTGCCTCTTTTCCTTTGCTGCACGAATTTTAAATGACACATAAATACAGTGTATATATGTATATATCTCTATCTCTATTTCTTGATGGCAGCTCACTAAGTCACATCGGCAAGGTCACATGGTGAAGGTAGACTGGCTGGACAGACTGACCTTTCGAGAAATTGAGATGATCAACGAGGTAGGTTGAGGTGTCATAAATGAGCTTTCAAACCTTGGACACCTTGCTGGATGAAATCATCTGGAATTCAGGGATTGTACCTAAGTTTTCTTCTTTAGTCCATGCGCATTCTGGGAAAAAAAAAAACCAAACAGCTTAATTTTCCAAGCTATTGGTTCTCGGAATCTACCTGGGGGAACCCAATGTTTTCTCAAGGAGAACATCACTGATGGAGCATTGACTTCTGTGAAAGACGCGTTATCCAACCTATTAGTATTCTTCTGCATTGTGCAAAACCAGGATTGTTTAAGTTGCATTTCAGAGTGTTCTTTTTCTTTTGTTTGCTGGTCAATCTCAATTCTGGCATTTGATGATTACCAACTTTAAGATTCCAGAAGTTTAGCTGCAAATGGTCTTTTGACGAGAAAATGGAATCTTTTATCTTTTGATGCTTATCTGGTTTTCCTTGGCAAGAGTGGTAGCTGTGGGTTTGGTCACCTTGAATAGTTCTGAAAAAAATCAGGACAAGGCCATATACAGTGATGCCTCGCAAGATGAAAGAATTTGTTCCGTGAGTCACTTCATATTGTGAAAATTTCATCTTGCGAATTTTCCCATAGGAATCCATTTTCAATGCGTATGAATGCATTGGGGGAAAAAATCATCTTGCGAAGCATGTAATTTGTTCCACGAGTCACTTCGTATTGCGAAAATTTCATCTTGCATATTTTCCCATAGGAATCCATTTTCTATGCATATGAATGCATTGGGGAAAAAAATCATCTTGCGAAGCATGGCCATAGAAAAATTCGTTTTGCGAGTCACTGAAAAATTGCAAAACACTTTCGTCTTGTGAGTTTTTCGTTGCACGATGCATTCATCTTGCGAGGCATCCCTGTAGTCTTGATTTGTTCTGAACTTTGTAAAATGCCACAGAATGGCTGGTCAGGACACCTGAAGACCAACATGATGAGTTCTTGAACTTCATGAACGTCTGGAACCAGACCAGCAGTACTGCATGCGGAGGAAAGCTTCCACCAGGCAAAACTGTTGATTTTGCTGAATTGGCTGTTCTTGGTGGTTTAAACAAATTTTTAATCCCAATTCTGATGGAGGCTGGCCTTGCTTCTGTTACCCTGCTGCTTTTCACTAGCCAAACAGAAACTCTTTGGGTTTCAAATGAAGGCAGAAAGCGGGAGAGGAAGGGGAAATCAGATTGCTGGCCGCCTTTTGTTTAAAGAGACGGGTCATAAATTCCAAACCACTGGCTCTTAAGAAATCAAATTGCTGGCCAGCTTTTGTTTAGAGAGATGGGTCATAAATTCCAAACCACTGGCTCTTACCGACTGCAAACTATAGCCATCTCCATCTAAGCAGCTGTGCCTGGCTCCCAACGGCAGCCCACGAACCTTTTGGGACTTTAATAGTAACATATAATTTTGGAGCTACCCACAAGAATTTGGTGCACAGCCTGAAGAAGGTGAATTATCATTGAAAACTTGCTATATTTTTTGTTTGTTTGTTTTCTTAATGGTCCAATAAAGATACTGCCTGTTCCTGCATTTGTATCTAATAATTCTCTTTTTGAATATGCCCAGGCACAGCCAGATTATGGCAACCAAACTATTACACTTAATTCTTCTTGTTGTCCCCTGGGCCCTTATTATTGACGTTTAGCGATGTTTCCCCACAGTTGAAAAGTCTAAGAAAGGTTTATTTCCCAGGTTTACATTTTTTAAAAAGGGATCACACTTTATGCAGGCCCACTGAGGAGGTCTATAGGGAGAAGACAGCATCTTACCCACGTTTGCTAGAACGAGTGTCGTCTTCTTCCATGATGTTGCTTCACACATACCTCTACAGCAACGGTCCCCAACCTTGGGCCTCCAGATGTTCTTGGACTACAACTCCCAGAGGCCTTCACCACCACCTCTGCTGGCCAGGATTTCTGGAGTTGAAGTCCAAGAACATCTGGAGGCCCAAGGCTGGGGACCACTGCTCTACAGTACTTTCTTTGAACATTGCGTTAAAAACCGGCCACCTGGGTTATGGGCTATTCTGGAGTTACACCTTTTGAGTGTGTAGGCCAAAGCAGTAACTTTTCCAAACACTGTCTTATTCTAAAGCCAGAGTGAGGAATGTGTAACCGCCCGGTTGCATGAGATCTCCTTTGGCTTCCCAGCTCTCCTAAGTCCTGTCCAACTCTGCAAAAATGAGTACCATAAAAGGGTCACATCCTGTTCTCTATTGCAGAGAACCAGCCAAGATGACTGGTTGTTTCTCTTAAATGTGTGGTTGACTGTCTGGGTGCTGCTCCCAATTTTGGGATGAGGTAGGTTGAAATGGAAGTGGAAGGTGTATGGGTCCCTTGATTTCTGGAAACCTTCCCCCCTCCCCCGTGTTCCAACCTATTTTGTTCCTACAAATCCAGACCCCGATCCACCCCTTGAGAGCTCAAAGATGACATGTTTCTCTCCTTGATTTGCAAAGAACTGTTCAACATGGCGCTTCTCCTTTTTAAGGCTTCCCACGTCATCTGCTTTTCCTCCTTTTAATTTCAGAGTGAGAAGCGGAGTTCTAATTTCATGTACTTGATGATCGAATTCCGCTGTGCCAAAAGTGATGACAAAGAATACGGGATCGTATATTACGAGAAGGTATGGTTTGTGATGTGTTTGAGGTTTTTTTGCAAGTTCTTTGTCTTACTTGTCTTTTTTTAAAAGTGCCAAACACACACACACACGCACGCACGCACGTAAGTGCCAAACACATCACACACACACACATACACACACAATACACACACACACACACGCCTGCCCACTGGGATGAAATATTTCTTCCAGGGTGGCAGCCGAGGGATGCCATGTAGTGGGTGCTGAGGTATGCATGCAAATCACATGCCAAAGCTACAACATGATTACAGGATCCAATCCTTCATGGAATGCACTTCAGATTTATAGAATTTTAATAAGCATGGATGATTTTTGAGCGATCTTGGATTTATCACCACCTCTGTCGTCTCGCGAACCCGCCGGCCCATCACGTTTCTCTCACAGGAATATGCTATGTGCCATTATCTCTCTGATCAGTGGATGGCAGAGGGAGGCTTGTTCCAAGAGAGATGTTGCCATGTGGTCACCTTCACTCATTTTATAAATAAAATACAGTCATCAAGGGCAGGGATGAGAAGCCTTCCAAAGGCTGGGGATCAGACACCGCTGTCCCTGGACATCAGGGGCTGACCCCCACTTTTTCTTCCTACAAAAACTTTTTTTCCTGTTCTAAAAAAGCTATTATGTGCCTCCAGTGGCCCTAAAAAGGATATGGAGGGTAGGGTCATGTGGGCTCTCAAAACAAAAACAAAGAGTACCACCTTGGGGGGGGTGTCTAAGAACATTTCTGAGGAACATATTCTCTTCCTTTCTTCCAGGATTTTTTTGGAGGGGGGGAGGTTGCATGGGCACTACTCAGGTACCTGGAGATGCTCTGTGTGTGTGGAGGGTGCACATGGTCTGCCCCATAGCTAAGGAGACCTGGAAGCCAGTGTCTTCTGGAAGAGAAATGGTCCATCTATCCTTGCCTGTTTTCTCTCTTTAGCTGACTCTCAGGTGTGATATAATGGTGAACTCGTACAGCCTCTTGTAGGTTGTATTGAGCTCTGAAGGAAGAAGGAGAAGATGCAGTGTATATTCGCTGCGGGTGAATATTCGCTGCTGCTGAATATTCGCTGCAGGTGAATATTTGCTGCGGGTGAACTTCCAGGGGTCGTTTTTGGTCTGTTCCAAATAGATATGGACACGGACCTCCAGTTCGTTTACCACCATGACAGGTGTTTGGTGCCCACTCAGAAGCAGTGCCCCCAGCTTCCCTATCCTACCTCCTTTGGGTGCTGCTTCGGAGTGGGTGCCCGCCAGAAGGGGTAGGGCGCCAAACCATGAACCAGGCTGAAAAGCCCAGTTGGATGTTCATGCCCAGATCTTGTTCCCAGTCTCTCTTACTTGGCCTCTTGCACTGTTTTTTCTACTCTTGCTGTGTCCATGGGAAAGGGCATTTAGCAGGGGCAGCATCTAAAACAAGATTTCCATTGCCTGGACTGGGTTGAAAACTGTTTTCACTGAAGCTTGTTTAGATGGGTCTTCACATCATGCATCTTATCTAATATCTTAATTGCGTTGTTTGTCTGTTTTTATTAGGTTGTTCCTATTTTGTAATTTTAATTTCCCATGTCTTGTTGTAGAAGTGTGGATTGAAAGGGCAATAGTGTTTTTATTGGGTTTCTAAAAAAAAAATATTTGTGGTTTTAAGTTGTGGGAGGGTTGTTGCTGTTGTCACTATTACCATTAGCTGGCCAGAGTAGTATTGTGTTTGGCTAGGATACAAATGTCATAAATACATAGATTTTGTAGGGGCTGGATAACCTATTCCTCCCCTTCCTCTCTTCTCCCCTCTCCTCAATGCCCCTTCCCTCTCCTCTCCTCTCCTCCCCTTCACTTCTCTTCTCTTTCCTCCTCTCTCCTCTCCGCCCCTTCCCTCTTCTCCTCTTCCCTTCTCTTCCCTGTCCTCCCCTCTCCTCCCCTCCCCTTCTGTTCCATTCTCTTTCTTCCCTCTTCTCCCCTTCCCTCTCTTCCCCTCCCCTTCTCTATTCCCTCTCCTCCCCTCTCCTCTCCACCTTTTCCCTGTCCACCCTTTCCCTCTCCTCCCCTTCTCTCTTCCCTCTCCTCCCCTCTCCTCTCCACCTTTTCCCTGTCCACCCTTTCCCTCTCCTCCCCTTCTCTTCCCTCTCCTCCCCTCTCATTTTCACCCTTTCCCTCTCCTCCCCTTCTCTCTTCCCTCTCCTCCCCTCTCCTCTCCACCTTTTCCCTGTCCACCCTTTCCCTCTCCTCCCCTTCTCT